TTGCCTTCGCGCCGCGCAGGCGCGCCTCCGCTTTTCAAGGGGCGCACGGCGTCGCCGCTCATCCCAAGGTTGGCGTCGGGTGCCTCGCCGTGTGCAATTGGGCCAGCGGCCAGCGGCCGCGCGCGACCCGCGCGCAATCAGACTCAACCGTGTCGTTCGGCCAATGGGCGGCCGCGGTGCGTTGCTGAGCGAGTCGGCGGGCGGGGCGGGCTGGGGCGGGGGGGGATGGGTTCGGGGCGCGCGGAAGGTGGCAAGGCCGATGGGCAATGGCGAGCCGACGCGCGGCGGGGCGGCGTGCGCGAGAGGGGGGTGGTCTGCGATGGCAGGGGTGGATGAGGGCGCGTGTGTGGGGGTGGGGTTGGGTTGGGTAGGGTGGGTGGGCGTGCGTGCGCAGGCGGGGATAGCCCGCCGCGGCAGGTGGGGGGCGAGCGGCGGCGTGGCGGGGTTGGGTTGGGCAGGGGGGGGGGGGGGGTAGGCGTGCGCGGGCAGGTGGGCGGCGAGCGGCGGCGGTGGCAGTTGCGGTCGGTGGGGCACGGCGCGGGAAGGGGGGCGCGGCCATGGCAGTGGGCATAGCGCAACGTCGTGGGATCGCGCTGGCCAAGGGCAGGATGGAAGAGGGGTGCGCGCGCGCGTGCGTGCATGCGCGCCCGCGCATGGCGGTGTCGGCGGTTGGGGGTGAGCGGGCTAAGGCGCGGCGTGCGCGTGTCGGGTGGTCGTGGTTATGGGGATGAGGGTGGCGTGCGTGGTGGGGTTGGGACGGTTTGCGGGGGGTGGGTGGGGCAAGGGAGGTGCGGTGGCGGTGGTCGGCGGGGCGGGGTGGGATGGGGTGGGGTGAGGTTGGGGTGGCGCGCGCGGGGTGGTGGTGGGGTTGGGTGGGGGGCGGGGCGGGGGTGCGTGTGTGCGCGGTGTGTGTGCGTGTGTGTGTGGTTAGTGCTTGTGGTGCGGGTGTGGGTGGGGGTGGGGGGGGGGGGTGGGTGGGGGGGGGGGGGGTGTGTGGGGGGCATTGGATTTGCGCGCTGAATGGCTGCGCCGCGCGATGGCAGCGTTTCGCGTCTGCGTGCGGGCACTGCTTGCGAATAAGAAAGGCCACCGTCTCTCCGACCCCCCCCCCTCCCCCCCCTACTCACCCACCCACCCACCCACCCCGCCCTCACCGCCCACGCGCACCCTTCCCAACGCGCGCGCGCGCGCGCAAGCACCCCCCACCCCACCCCACCCCACCACCACAGCCACCATCCACGCATCACGCAGACACTGCACAACTCCGTTACCGAGCCCCCCGACAAAGGCGCGCCCCCAGACCCCGCGCACCCCATTCCCCGCCCAATGCCATCGCCACCCGACCATGCACCAGCACGTGCTCCGCACCGTGCGCCCTTGCTCTGCATCTCCTGAGCTCCCATCTACTAGGCCGCGCGCGCACGCGCGCGCCGACGCCACCATCGCAAGGATACCGCGCGCAACTGCACAGGCGCCCCTCCCCCCTCACCCCAAAGCCTCACACGCGCACATGCGCGCCTCATCCCACCTGTTCGGGCTAAGTCCCGCCGCTCACCCACCGCCGCAACTACCGCCGCGCGCGCGTGCACACGCGTCCCATATCACCCTACCCTGTCCGGTTTCAATGCAGCTTGCATTCTCGGGCCAGCGTTTTAGCCATCGCGCCGCCCTTCAAGGCCGCAGGGTGCCGTCGCGAGACCCGCCGAGTGTCCCAGTGGATGTCGTGTTTCCGCTCTGCCACAGTAGCCTTTTCACACGGATCGCTGCCCCATGGGATCCCATGGGGGCGCCATGTTAGACTGATACCGAACATGCCCGCATCCAAGCTGCATTCCGCGCTCCAAGCTGCATTCTGCCTGTTGAAGTGGCCTGGACAGGCCGTGGCCGAATAGGGGCATCCACCGAAGGTCTCAGTGCCAAAAGTCGCGCGGCGACATTACGTCCTCGACCCAATTCGGTTCCAATTTCCGTTGTTCTCGCCATGGCCTCAAGTTCACCACACTCTTGAATTTCAGGCCACGGCGAGAGCACAGTTGCCGAGTGTAGGCGAAGATGTTGGGCCCGTTTCGGGTAGTGCGTTGATGTAGGTATTAGGATGATGTCGGTTCCTTGCCGCCCGACGTGGTGCCACGTGATAGTCCATATTCGATATGTAAAAAATATTCATACCAGTCAGCACGTTTGTTCTTTGGCGCCAGGGGCCTCGACACCAGAACAAAACGACGCGAAGGCCCAAAGGATGACCACTGGCATGCCCCAGAATGATTGTGGTGACTCCAGAATGAGGGTGCGATCTCCCATGGCACGGTCACTGAAACGAAACCTCATCATTCGGATCCCGCCAGCGGCCTTGCAACTGGAGCCAAATCAATCGAAACGCTTGCAAAACAAGGGCCCAACAGCCGAAGTCCCATGGTGTTCGGTGAACCTTCTGGTCCGTAAGCATATGTGGCTCGAGCACGTGGTTTCGCATCGGCCTGCGAGGGCCAGCCACTTGCCAGGTCAGTGATGCCGAAGACCAAGAAGGGTCTCAAAGGCAAGTCGGAGACCAAGGCATTTCGACAGCTCGGCCAGGAATCAGTGCTACCCCACGAGCTTGCGGCTACGATGGCGACCGCCACGAGCTGTTCCATCGTGATGGCGACGGGTTTGCTCCAGGCCCTCTCGGCGGCGTTCATCACCGAGCTGAAGTACAAGGGCGTGCTCCTCATACCAGGCATCGGGAGTTTCAGCGTCAAGCGGATCCCAGCCCTGCCAGGCCGCCTGAAGAAAGTCGGCGGGGTATTGAGGGCGTGCGGTCCGAGGGCCGCCAAGTGTGAGATCCAATTTTCAGCGTTCTCGGACGTGGAGGAGTTGCTGTCGGGTGCACGGTGCTTCGACAAGGTAGAGGAGGCTGACCGCCAGGCCACGCCAGCTTCATCCTCGGCCTCGGTAGCCTCATCCTCGGCCTCGCGAGCTTCACACTCGGACTAGTGCAGCTTCCATCCTCGGGCTCATTCTCGGGCTGGTGCAGCTTCCATCTCGTTCCGTATCTAGAGTGCTTGTTTGGGGCGCTCCTTCCATATCAGGGTGCTTGTTTGTTGCGCCACTTCCATATCATTTAGAGCCCAGTGCGCCCGTTGTGCTCTAGAGTGCTTGTTGCGTTTGAGTTGCGCCAGTGGCTCATCAGGAGCACCGTTCGAGCTGCTCATCTCGAGCCCATCTCGAGACGCCGTTGCATCGTTGTGCGCCTGCGTGGGATGCACAGGCTAAAGCACGAAAGTCTTGAGCCAACTTGCATCCATTTCTCTTCCAATGTCCCTCCCCTCCTCCTCCACCGCCTGAGTCGTTTGCACCCTGGGCCGCCTTTGTTGGTCACCCCAGTCCCTGGGCCGTCTCCAAAGCATGCTGGCCCCCTTGCCGCCCACAGCCAACGTTTCAGATTCCACTGGCCACGTCCGAAGAGTAACCCCCCCCCCCCTACGGCCTCACCATGCCCCTCACCGAACAGCCGTACGAATCGCCTAGGTCGTATCGAGGGGGTCGGCATTAAGCATCCTGAGCGTCTTGGAACTCTCCTCTCTCTGCGCCTTCGGTCAAGTCCCCCTCCCCACCCCGCCTCAGCCTTCTGAAAATCAGAGCCCGAAAGCCACTGGGAGACATCGTGGGCCTTGCATCATTGGTTTCGCCTGAACTCTCTCTGCTCTCCTGCTCACGTTCCTGACCATCGTCCGCGAAATTTCTCACCCTCCATCTCCATCTACATGCCTCCCTCTCCTTGCTTACCTCCCCCGTGTCCTCCCCCGTCGGTCATGGGAGCCCTGATCACACCCGCTGCCTTGGCGACCTGACGCGTCAGATGCTGGAGAGGGGCATGCCACTGCGCATGCTCGGAATGTCCAGGAGGTTGGCGATGTTCGGAATGATGAGGGGGCGAGGGGAATGCGACGGAGAAGATGAGGGAGCTCGTCTCTTCGTCTGGGGCAAGCCCTCATCACCAACCCCCGTGCTCTGAGCCCACCCATCCCTCTTTCCCTCGCCCCCCCCCCCCCCGCCCAAACGACGAGTCGCATGATAGCGATTTTCTCATATGAGACGTGCGATTCACTGGCTTTTCCCAAGATGGCCCCGAGAGCGCCCAGAGACGGCTTCAATAGTCAAGATACTTAGACACAATTCAGAATGCAAACTGCAAAACGGTAACAGTGAAGCAACACCAACAATAACACGCTCAGAGAGGTAGGAGGGTGGGGTCTGGGAGTACATTCCCCTACTCCCCCCCCTCTCCCACGAATGCATCCTCCTGTGGATGTACAAACATGGCAGGGCTTCTCGGGGTGCTCGAGGGACTCTCTATGGGGCTATCTTAGGCCACTCTCGATATTATTGGACTTATATGTGGCTCCTCTCCCCGCCGCCCCGAGGCTTCGAACGCCGACGGACTTGCCAGTGCGATATGCACTGCAAGCCTTTCGAAAGCAAAAGTCGCATGAACACTCGGAGGTTGAAGCTTGCCTGCACCTTGGAGGGTTCTTGAGGAAACTCGGGTGGTCTGATTGAGGGGGGAGGGAGGGAGAGGGGGGGGAGGAAGGGGTGGAAGGCTTCTGGAAGGTGGCGAAGGGGAGGGGAGCCTTCGGAAGGGGAGGGAGGGCTGGGGGGGAGCGAACAGAGATGAGGGGACGGGGGGTTCATGCAAGGGGAGGGGCGATGGGGGACGGGGACAGAGCAGCGAGAGCACGTGGCAGATGCAAGGCAGACTGGCGTAACGCACCCAGGGGCTGGTAGGATTAGGATAGGATGATAATGATTAGATTGTCTAGGTGGTAGTTTTGGGCGTGGTATCTCAAACGCATGCAGCTCGCCAGCTGTCTCGGCGATGTCGTCGCGGCGCGAAATCGGGTTTCAGGTTTTCTTGGGAACGTGCCAGTGACTTCTAGCCAAGTATCTTGCAGCAGCAGTTATAAGTATCAGTCAGGTTGCCAGCCATGGCAGATGGTGGTGGCCTTGCTTCAGCCCGCAAGGACTTTGACGATGACCTCCCAGAGTTCGAGTTCTCGATGGCGCCTGTCGCGGCGCCCGCGGAGCCCGCCATCAGGCGCGTTCGGAGCAGGGCGCAGTTCCAGGGAAACACCATGCCTGTCAAGGACGAGCTTCCAGATGGCGACGTGAAGGGCGAGAACGACTCGAAGGAGGAGGTGGATGCTCGCGCTGACGAGCCAGACGTTCCGGAAGGTCAAACAGATGACGACGCATGTGATGAGGATGGTTTGCAGATGCGGGGGATCGAAAAGCTGACCCTTTCTTTGTACACCAAGATCTGCGACATGATGAAGCACACGGCGGTGAAGCCACCAATGCCGCCAGGCGACGCCATCGAGAGTTCGATGGCATTGGCAGTCGAGGCTGGAGGTGATGAGGCCCAAGGCGACGTGCATGACGGCGGCGATGACGTGAGCCATGGTGGTAAAGCGTCGGCCCCTATTGACGCCGACGCCGAGGACGGCATCACGATGCTGGAGTTCAACAAAGTCAAAGGGGTCACCGCCTTATCCTTGGCTGCGGCGTGGCCGTCGGGAAGCCACTTGGCACCAGTCGCCAAGATCAGGAACACAGTGAACTCATACGTAAGCGAGCTGGCCAATCCGAAGTGGTTTGAGGAGTTCATCCTGGGGGCGCTGCACGCCCTTCAGAGGCGCCTTACGAAGCATCAGCATAACATCATCGGAAAAACGCAGTTCGAAGTGCAGCAGGCCTTCAACCAGTTGTGCAATCGCCTATCGGCCTTGATTGCGCTCCATAAGACGATGAGGGCCTGGGTTGACGCCCAAGTGGATAGACTACTTCAGGAAACGCTTGAGCCGTTCTCAGTTGTGATTGCCTACATGATGCATGCGCGCGAGCATATGTCGGAGGAGCTCAACATTGTCGTGGTCTATGCTACTTTCCAGGGCATGGCGATTTCCACGGGGTCGGTCGCGCGGGCTATCGAGGCGTTTGATGTTGAGATACTGACCATCATCAACACGATCACCGAGAAAGACCCGCCCGCCGAAGCCGAGCCGTCAACAACAGGGGCCGCAGGGGAGACCTCGAGAAGCAAGGCCGCGGAGAAAGCTCACCAGACTTCCAAGAAGTTGGGGGAGGCGCTCAGGTCCCATGCAGTAGTCGGCCAGACCCTCATTTTGCGAGGATGGTTTCCGATGCCATGCAGACGTGGTTGTGCGGGTTGGCCGATACCTCTGTTACAGATAATGTCTTGGCTATTGACTTCATGTTTGAGATTGGCTTCATTGCCACGCACTGGAAGGCCAAGGAGGTCACCATGCGGACAGAGCTGGAGGACGACACGTTCTCCGAGGCGTGTGTATGACGAAGATCCCAGGCCCATCCGCTGGTTCTTCGGTTTTGGTGTAGGCGAGGGTGACCAGAAACACGTTTCAAACTTCAAGTTCAGGTTTGCCATTTTGGCGGCAACAAGCGTTTTCGAACCCTAGGTTTGTTGGATGGGTTTGGGATCTTCAGCCTTGGAGGTGTTGGGCGCAGTCGAGACCATTGCCAAATGCGCCAGCGGCGTTGAGTCGGACAGGCCCCCCACTGCTGAGGTGCGGCAAGCGAGAAAGCTGATACTCGACCAGGTTAGACAGCCGACCTCACCAGCGTCTGAGCTTGCTCGTACTCTGCAGGCGTATCCCGTGGGCAAGGCTATGATGGAGGCCAGTCGTACTCACGTGGCCCAGAGCATCGAGGACGACATGGCGACGCATAAGTTCGAGGTGGCGGCATCGCACTTCGAGAAAGACTTCGAGGCGTGCTTCGACGACTTGCAGGCGTGGGCGGATACTGTGCGCAAGGACTCGCCCAATAAATTCTTTGATGATGTCAACGTTCTCTTCAACCGCATGAATTTCTTCTTCGCCAGCGCCCGCGGCGCGATCTCGAAATGGTCGACCTCTGCTGCGCACGCGAACTTGGAGTTTGTGGCGGACAACCTCAACAACTCGATGAGCTTGCTCAGGGTCGGCAGGTACATGATGATGGACATCTACGCTGAGGTCATCGGGCCATTCGTGCCGAAGTTGGGTGCTGCGCTGCTGGGACTCATGCAGGCGTGCGAGGCGCAGGACCCAATAGAGGACGGCACGTCTACTGACGGCAAGACGGATGACAAGGAGTGCCACGACCGCCTCGTGAAGGAGTACTCTACTACCGCTGGCGTCCTCGCGCCGAGCTTGGCCACGTTTGCGAGCTCCCTCAGCACCTTGACCGAGAAGTGGACCAAGTGCAAGAATGGCTTAGCCATGCGCTGTGGCGACGCCGCCTTCGATAAGCTGGAAAAGGAATACGTCACGAACCCAGATGCTTTCGAGAACGAGGTCAAACGTGTCAGCTGCTTATTGCAGGACATGGTCACGTGCATGAACTACTGCGTGAATCTCGTTGAGCAGAGGCGGTCGGATTTCTCAACGGCGGCCCAGGCAGACGCGTTCACGGACCTCGTTGTGAAGTTCGCAGGTTCGGTACGCTGGATGCGCGATGAGGACTTCATGGACTTGTCCGTTTCGACCCAGAGCTCGGTGACCAACGTGCAGACCGTGAAGCAGACCTCGGATAGCTTCAAGCAGTTTCTCGACGGACCAGGTTCAATGGACAACTCGTCGCGGTTGCCGCCCCTTGTCGCGCCGCCCCCACTGCCTCGATGCCAATGCTGTCAAGCGGTGTGCCAGTTCTGTTGTAGTCTAGTTGTCTTTTGTTTGAGCGCAGGTTTGATGGGCAGTGGGCGGTCGGCAACGTGCGGCGATCGCGAAGAGATGCCCATTCAGCTTCGCGCATCTACAACGATTGCGCCGACAGCTTCATCGGCAGCAAGCTCGCTGAGATTTCGCCGAGCCTCAGTTTCAAGCTGGGCGAAGTCAGCGTGGACGTCATGCGCGAGGTGCCCCCTCACGAGGCACTGTCCAGACTGATCGCCAGCGTGAGCGTCAAGTCCATCCTGCTTGATGGTGTCAACTGGGTCGACGGCAGCACGATTGACGACACGGCCATGGACGATATTCCATACAACAGGGCGTTGTCGGATCTTCTGTCCTTCGCAGAGGCGGCGTCTCTCGACAGCATCCTGATTCCCGATACCAGTCACAATGGCGAGCATGGCCGCATGAAAATGGAGCATGCGAAGATATACTTGGACATGGTGGCGCAGGTCAAGGACATAGCTGGGTGTGCAGCGCAGCTTCACGTGAACGTCTTCGAGCGCAGCGTGCTTCCCAATGATCAGCTGCTCTTTGGGGAGTTCGTCCACGCTCAACGGATGATGAGCAGGGTGGTTCTTCGGCTGGACGCGTTGCTGCTCTCGGCGGGCACCCACGAGTTCGAGAAAGAGGGCTGGGTGTGCTGCATCAGCCCTCAGAGCGTGCGGCAGTGGCTCCAGGCGATCGCCATCTTCTCGAACTCAGCGAAGTCGAAGCTTCTTGAGATGATGGCGCTGAGTTTACAGAAGCATGCTGACGCATGCAGGTCGGGACTTCCAGATCTCACGGCGGCGACCGACAAGAATGGCCAGTTCGTCGAGAAGCTGGCCCAGAAGATTTTCAAGGATCAGACCGCAGTGGTTGCTTCCTACAATGTAGTGCACAAAGCACTGACCTACCTGAGCAGAGCGGGCAGCATGCTGGAGATCGTGCCCGTCGTCTCCGAGCACGACGCCACGCAGACCGCCGTGGCGACGGCCATGGCGTGCTTGGTCATCGGCAGTCGAAGGGCATCTGCCTCTTCGTGCTGGCTGCGCCAATCAGGTTGCGTCAGCGCCTATGTGTTTTCTGGGCTCGGGGTGGCGACGATGAGGGGTCGCACGATGACGTTTAGACGATTCAAGGTACAGTTTATTGGCAGGGACGCGGCGGAGGGATGGAGGTGGCGTCGGCGACGACGAAACGCAGAGATGCCACGTGGATGCGGCGGGTGGGAGGGAGGGAGGGCACCACGAGAACAACAACGGGGGGGCGAAACGGACGTTTTGGATGAGAGAGTCTGGCATTCATGGTTTCCGAGTTTCCGAGGCGTTCGCAAGCTCGATTGGCGTGGCCAGTGCGATTAGTCACTGCTCCCATCGTTCGCCGTGCAGGCGAAAGCAAAGCAGGTGGTGACCATGTGCAGGGGCGTGGCGGCGCTTCCTGAGATGCGCATCTCGCCCAGTGGACCTGTGGACGCCTCGGCGTTCCTCGCCAAGTTCAAGGATGACAAACACAAGGACATCCCCGCGAGCTTCTGGGCAGAGTTCGAGGCGGTGGCGACAGAGACGCGCAGCTCGGCGGGCATCCCGAGCGGCGGTCCAGCGGCGGTGGGGAAGGCGACACCGACCTCGGAGAGCGGCGGTGGCAGCGCTGCTTTCCAGACGCCCAAGTGCAAGGGCAACGCAGGCCCAACGTCCCTCACGCCGTCCACGGCCAAGGCTTCTGCGAAGAGGCCCGTCACCAAGGATGAGCCGACAGACGGCGAGTCAGCCCCGAGTGCGGGGCCACGCGGGCTGAAGCGCGCAAGGCGCTAGCTGGCCCGCCTGGCACTTGGCCAGGCCAGGCACTTTGCCCGAGCCTCCCGTCTCGAGCCACCTAGTGATGGATGGATGTATGATGTATGATGCAGTGCATGGTAAGGTCCCTGAGCATATTGCATCGGTTGCTGTTAGGCCCCTGGGCCATTACCCCCCTGGTTGCGGTTTGGTTTTGGGGAAGGGGGATGGGTTAACAAGTGCAAGCGTGCTGAACAAAGGCCCCCCAAAAACTGTAGTGCATACCACTATGAGCCCAACGATTAACCTTAAGACGGTGACTGCAATACAGCAGCACAGCAAGCAGCACGTAACACACAAAGACACTGGTGGCTCCAAGACCTGGGGTACGTTTTAGGCTGCTGAAGGGGGTGCTACCCGACAGCCGATGCCCCTCGCAGGACCACTGCTGTGAGGGCCCCAGGACCTCGATGCGAGTGGAGGGGCAGCGAGGGAGCTCGTGCACAGCTTGAGGTACGCAATCGTCGTCGACATCGCCGCTGATCGCTGTCACTGTCACCTCCTTCGCCGTCGTTGTTCCTAATGGATCCCTGCTCCCGTCCCCTTGCCCCTCGTCCCGCCTCTCCGCTTCCTTCTGTTCCCGATCTTCCCCAACAACCCTTCTCATCATCCCGTCCCGTCTTATCCTTCCTCCCTGCTCCTTTGTTGTTGCCGCAGTGGAGGGCGCTTGGTTACTGCGTGGTAGCGGCAGCAACGCATTACATGACGTGCGTCATGTGATGCACCGAAGTATGATTCCTCGGTATATGGTGCTATCATCGGGAGTTGCATCGATCGCAATTTGAATGCGGCATGCGTCCATTTCGCGCCCACCACATAAAGCATGCGTCGTGTGTGCGGCATGCGCGTCACCCGTTGGCCGTTGACGGACATGATCGCGGTTAACATTGATAGCTAAGCGTGCCCATCAACGAACAGCGCTACACATGTACATCTGACTTGTCCTAACAAAGAACGCCATTCTCGAGAAAACCTCCGAAGTTTGAGATATCGCTGAAACAAGTCGCGCCCCAAACAACTTACATGTGCGAATGTCGTCAACATGTGTCGCCGCCAAACGTGTTGACGAATCGACTGTCGCCGCCAAACGTGTTGACGAATCAAGTGTCGCAGGGGTCTTTCGCCACCGAACGTCTTGACGTTGCCCCCCCCCTACAGTTCTGACCCCCCCGCCAGACCCAAGGTAAGACGATGAGGATGAGCAGGAGGAAAGGGGAGGAGGAGGAGGAGGAGGAGGACGAGGAGGAGGAGGAGGAGAAGGAGGAAGAGGAGGAGGAGGAGGAGGAGCGAAGAAGAGGAGGAGGAGCGAGGAAGGAGGAAGAGGCGCTGCCTGGCTGTCCGTGTGCCTGGCCTCCGCCCCGTGCCCCGACCTCCGCCGATCCGTGCTCCTCCCTCCCGCGGCCCCAAAGAGTGCCGGCCGCCTCGCTGGTGAGCGATCTGTTTTTTTTTTCCCCCCCCTTCGGCGTCTCGACGTTGGGGCGGCCAAGGGGGGAGGGAGGGGGGGGGGTCTGGCTCCAGCCCTCTGCTTGGTGCGACTACTTGCGTCTCGACTTTGGGCGGCGTCTCGACGTCTCGACTCTTCTCGGCGTCTCGACTTGGGGCGGCAAGGGGGGAGGGGGGGGGGTCTGGCTCCGGCCCTCTGCTTC